TAGTTTCTGACTTTTCCAAATTAAAAATACCACCTGGAAGCACTGAATGAATGCCATTCCTGTAAGGAGCTTTTTATACCTAAATTCGCCAAAAGCCTTCTGACTTTAAACCACTCAACCAGGTATGATCAATTCTCGATTAGAAAACTCCTGAGAGGGGCGCCTGGGTGGCTCAGTGGGTTAAAGCCTCTGCCTTCGGCTCAGGTTATGATCCCAGAGTCCTGGGATTGAGCCCCTCATCGGGCTCTCTGTCCGGCAGGGAGCCTGCTTCCCCCTCCCCGCTCTCTGCCTGCTTCTCTGCCTACTTGTGATTGCTCTCTGTCAAATAAATAAATCTTAAAAAAAGCAAGCAAGCAAGCAAGCAAGCTCCTAAGAGCTCTAACACAGGACTGCCTCATAAATGTTAGGTGCAGTCAACTAAGCATCAGACATCAAGTACATGTGCCTGTTGCCTACAGCTTTGTGGCCTGATCCAAGAAGTATAAATGTAGTAGACAGAAGGACTGGAGTTCCCCATTCTCCTTCCAGGTAACTGTCCCCCCGCCCCCCGTTCCATCCCACTTGCATCCACTTTGAGGGCCCATTGTCACAACACGTCTCCAATGACTTTCATTATTGGTGGCACAAGAGGACATAACTGCAACTAAGAATATTTGAAATGAACCTAAGGGCAAAGGATGGTTGTTCTGTGAAAGCAAAGCGATGAAGGAGCCGCACTGAGGAAAGAAGTCCATCCCAGTCAAGTGGTCATTCACTGAATGACCTCTCTCTGCCACCAAATTATTTCCGCCCAAGTTTGGTCAGTTAGCAATGTTCTCTGGGGAGACAAGATAGGCAGGTTCTAGGCCCTGGTTCGTGGGCCATGCTGCAGAGTAACCTCAACGAGAACTTCTATGCTGGAAACCAAAACTAGGAAGGATCAAGACGAAAACACATCCAAACTACTTGAAATTGCTTCATCTCTTCAGGCCCATTTAGGAAAGGATGTTTTTATAAGTGAAAATAAGGAATTAAGTAAAAAAAGACAGGCTTGTTATTTTTAAGAAAACACTACCACCATCCTTGCCTTAGGATATGTACCAGCTACCTGAGGAGGTAAAACACTTTAGCTTGCTAGCAGAACATTGACTTGAAGATTACAGATAGCAGCTAAGTTCCTTGTAAAGGTTTGTTGTGGGGTTGAAAATGGACAGAAGGGAAGCAGTTATGTGTAATGAATGTTCTTTCCATTCTAAAGCAAGCAAGAAAGGATAATTACACACAAATCAATGTAATTAAGAGCATAAGCACAGGACTAGTTCTCAAATTGCAACAGCACCACCAGGGCTATGACCTTGGTTACTTACACCAATGGTTTTCAATCCAGTGGTACCTGAGAATCATCTGGAAGCTTATAAAATAGTGATAATTCAGGACCCACCTAGACAAATTAGAGCCAAATGGCTGCATGTCTAATTCTAGAGGTTACTAGCTGCCAGCCATTAAGCTTGTTGCTAAGATTCACACTTCTCCGCTAATTCAGCAGTTACCTGCTCTTCATATCAAGCACACAAGACTCACAACAGGAGCCCCCAATACTTCAGGTTACACACATGAAATGCAATATTTAATGCTTACTATGACATACCGAGTCTACCAGAAAAACGTGCCCCCAATCTTTTAAAGAATTTTCAGTATCATGGAGGTTTAACTTGGATGATCACAACAAATACTCATACATATTAAGGCAAACACATCCAAAATAGATAAAGCTGGTAAAAGACAAATATGCACTATAAACTTCACTCCCCTCAAACCTCAAGGTTTTACCTCTGGCACTTTAAGTAGACAATGTTACAAGTGAACCTGAACCAGATACCATAATCTAAATGTTTTCTGGCAGCCAACTACCCCAAAGTTCTATGCTACGCATCAAAAACATGTTCGTACATTGTAGTACAGTGCAGCAGTGAACTCCCAAAGTAAAACCAGTGTCACTACATTAACACCATCGCTGTTAATTCTTCATTGCAATACAGCACATTGATTGGGTAGGGAAGAGAATTTTTTACGATCTACTGTAAAGAAAGGAAGGCAATCTTTTTAGTTGTCTTTTAAGTGTCAAAGCAGGGGGGCACCTGGGTGGTCCAGTCAGTTAAGTATCCAACTCTTGATTCCGACTCAGGTCATGATCTGGGGTTTTGTGCTCAGTGGGGAGTCTGCTTGAGAGTCTCACTGACCCCACCCTTACTCACTCTACATCTTCAATAAAATAAAGTTTCAAAGATCACTGAAATTAACATTTTAAACTACTACTTAATAGGAGCACCTGGATGGCTCAGTTGCTTAAGTGTCTGCCTTCAGCTCAGGTCACCATCTCAGGGTTCTAGAATGAGGCCTGCACTGGGTTCCCCTGCACAGCGGGGAGTCTGCCTCTCCCCTAGCTCATGTTCTCTCTCAAATAGTCTTTTAAAAAGCCAACTTAATAATGTAGCTTTGGTATGCAGATCTAAGTTAGATGGAATGCTCAATTTGAGTATTTTGAGTGTATGCATGAGCAGTGAGGTGGGGATGGGGACAGAGGTAGAGAATTTTTAAAAAATATTTTATTTGACAGAAATCGCAAGTAGGCAGAGAGGCAGGCAGAGAGGGGGAAGCAAGTTCCCGCTGAGCAGAGAGCCCAACGTGGGGCTCAATCCCAGCACCCTGGAATCATGACCTGAGCTGAAGGCAGAGACTTTAACCCACTGAGCCACCAGGCACCCTGAGGTAAAGAATTTTAAGCAGGCTCCATGCCCAGTGTAGAGCAGGATGCAGGGCTTAATCTCAGGACCCCGAGAGCATGACCTATTTTTTTAAATGTAACCTCCAGGGATGCCTGAGTGGCTTAGTTGGTTAAGCCACGGCCTTCAACTCAGGTCATGATCCCAGGGCCCTGGGATCGAGTCCCATATCGGCCCCTTGCTCAGCGGGGAGCCTGCTTCTCTCTCTGCCACTCTGCCTGCTTGTGCGTGCACTCTGACGAGTAAGTAAAATCTTTCAAAAAAAAAAAAAAAAAGTAACCTCCAAAGCCCGATGTGGGGCTTGAACTCAGGACCCCGAGATCAACAGTTGCATGCTCTACCGAGCCAGCCAGGCATCCTACAATGTATGGATTATTTTAACTATTCTTTATTAGATTCTTCAAGGTAAGTTTGTAGGCAAGAATTCCATCTGATCCACTCCTATTGAAGCAGCTTCAAGAGGCTGAGAAATTATTCTAGAAGCAAGCAAAAAGGCAGCAAAACTTAACAGGGATGCAAAGATGAAAATGTTAGACAATGTAGAATTCCTTGCAGCACCTCCACTTATCCTTCCATCATCCCCTCAACCCTTGTTAGGAGAAATCCTTGCCCTTTTATCAACCTTGCAGGCATAGGACTCTCAGACCTTAAGAAATGGGGGATTGGTTTATTACCCAAAGTGAAAGCTGCTAAACCCCAAACAAACCCCCCTTTTGACAGAGCTTGCCTATCAAGGCAATATACTACTTACTATCCGAAAATAATTTTTGAAAAGTTGCTTAAAACCAAGGTTCCTGGGTGGCTCAGCTGGTTGTTGGGTGTTCAACTCCTGGGACTGAGCTCAGTGTCAGCCTCCACACTGAGGAGTCTGCTTGAGAATTCTCTCCCTCTGACCCCTCCGATAAATAAAATAATCATTAAAAAAATTACAACAAATCCTTCCTTACTACAGGAACTTCTCATTGGCTCTCAGCAATTAGTTTGAATTCCCTAGAATACACCTATTTTCACACTACAGGAACTTCTCATTGGCTCTCAGCAATTAGTTTGAATTCCCTAGAATACACGTATTTTCACGTTGTACTTGCTCAGTCATCAAGATCAATGCAACTAAATGCAACCTTATGAAAGAACACTTATGTGGCATGTGACTAGGCCCTCAGTTATGCGTATCAAAGGGCTTTAAACAAAAGGCTCCTAGGTACTACAAATGCAGGACAAAGAGCAGTTGTGTGAAGCAAAATGGTTCTAAATATCTCACTGCTAGGTTTTCCAACTTGAGGCTGGAAAACCTTGGGGGGAAAATAACCCCATGCGTACCACCCCCAAACCTGAATCTACATTTAACAATGATGCCTTTGAAAACAGGTCTTCCTTTATGCTATCTTTTCCTTGCAACAGAAACAAAAATTATCAAGACATTTAACATGTCTAGCTAACATCTGATATATATCATTTGCTCAATACAAATATCAAAGGAGAAAGAAACTTGTTAACTTGTATTCATGAGTGAAAGGACCTACATGCCAGGGCTTCACACTTTTTTACTTTGCCTCCTTTTGACTATTAATGAGACCAAGTAGGAATTGGCACAGCACAGCTCAGACACCAACATCTTAACCTTGCAATGGTATAGATAAAAAAATTGACTACCTGGGGAAAACACATATATCCAATGTGAAGAACCACACGGCAGTGTGAAGGGAAAAAAATAAACTAAGTCGGGAAAGCATAAACCACTAACTATAGTTAGTTTAGCGGGGTGGGGGGGGCACAAAAAAAAAGAACATAGGGTGGGGGAGGTATACTTGCATAGGTTCTAGACTCTAGGGGAACTGTACATTTCTCAAACAAGTTAAGCTTCCACTTATGTATGCTTATATAAGCTTTGAACTCATTTATAAAGTGAGTTAGTTCATTAAACCAAGTAATTTCTAAGGTTTGTCTCAACTCTAGAACAAATCTTAGAGAAACAAGAAATGAAAAACATTTCACATCCTTGTGATGCCCAGGAAAAATATCACGTTAAAACATAACAATGGCATTAAAACTATCAAGAATGAACATAGAGGTAAAGGGCAGCATTGTAATGGGTTACAAAGGGAATTTTTTCTATCCCTGCATAACAGGACACCAAAGGATCTAAAGCCTATACTTCCTTATAATAGCTGTTTTTCATTACTGAAGTTATGAACCCATGACTGGGTTAGTGCACAAAGAAAAGTCCAAACTGTCAGCTTTTAGTCCTCCACATTCCCCTCTTTAATATGGCATTTTGCACTATATACATTAATGAAAATTTGAAACAAACAAAAAGAACTTTAGTCAAACTCCCCTTCCTCCTCCAGCTTTATTGGATAGTTTAAAATTACATTTCTATTTTCTAGGACTTCAGTTGCTTTTTCCATCTGACTTTTTAAAAACTGATTACAGCAAATGAAACACAGTTGTCTAAGTGATATAGTATACAAAAATAACATCTTGATTTCTGTGAAAATGCATTTCTCTGCAATTCCTGAATAACTCCAAATTATGCTAACTCTGAGCATAGATGTTTACTCTGGGTTTTAGATTTAGTCTTTGAAAAAATGTGTTCTAAACCTTTGCCATCACCTTATGTATATCCAGCATCAATGCTGTGATAAAGTTGTTCCTGTTTAGGCCTTTATCCTGATTTTTCTCGCACAGCCATTAACACACGTTTGTCTTTTTATTTTGTTTACTCCCACTCAACTGTATGTTCTATGTAGGGCCTGATACAGATGTTACTTGATGTTATTTAATAGCTACTGAGGTCAGACAATCCAAGGCCATCATTATGCTAAAATTAAAGTTATTTATGGAAGCTCATAAATACTTCCAGAATTGGTTTTACCTCCTACATGGGAACATATCCAAGAAACCCAGAACGGGCTTACTGGTCTGACTCAACTCTTCCCATTCCTCAATCCCTATTCACCAGTGGCGCGGAAAGGGGGTTCTTTAACAAAGCATTATACATAACACCTCTACCAAACTAAACATAAACTTTTTTTTTTTGTAGTTAAATGCAGAAAGTCGATTTTTTTCCACCCCTTTCCTCCTTTTACACGGCAAGTAAAGCTCACTGGCCTGGGAGTAGCCTCTATCTGCCAACCTTTGGCCAGTGAAGAGGATTCAGAGAAAATAATACAACCATCAATCAGAAAAAGGAGGGGCGACAAAGGAAAATAATTAAGCTGTGGCTTCAATCGTGCATTCCCGTGCAAGGTGCCCTGACTCGCCACAGCGGTAACAGTTGACTTCACTTGTCTTGCTGCAGTTGATGGCTACGTGACCAGTTTCACCACACCTTAAAAAAAGAGAGAGAGTTTTCACAATGTACTCAGAAAATGCAAAACTGTACTGGAGCAATAGTAACTGAGGAACAAAAAGCAATAGCAATGAAGCAATGCATTTTTTTCCCTCAAGAATCTCATTAACCCCTAAATTAAGAGCAGGAAGCAGGAATTAAGTAACAAAGCACTCAATAATTCAGCCTAAGGCATAAAATTAGAATTTTCACCATAACAGATCCACCAAAAATACCAAAAACAGGGGCACCTGGGTGGCTCAGCTGGTTAACCGACTGACTTAATTTCAGCCCAGGTCATGAGCTCACAGTCATGATATCAAGCCCCAAGTCCCATTCTGTGCTGGGCATGGAACCTGCCTGGGATTCTCTCTCCCTCCAAAATGCTAAAATGAATGACATTGGCCAAGATGTACCTTCTTCTTAAGTTTTATTTACGTAATCTCTAAACCCAGGCAGGACTCAAAATCATATCCCCAAGATCAAGAGTTGCACTCTCCTCTGAATGAGCCAGCCAGGCGCCCCAAGATATACCTTTATACAAATTAATATCTAAGATTCCACTGGTAGATACTTATCAAAACTTTCCAAATTTTATACCTTAAATATGTACATTTTACTGTATGTTTCATCCACAAAGATTTCTGGTTATAGGACAGAATATTTGTGTATGGGAACTACAGTTTTCTACAATGCCTCTGAAAACTCCAAATTACAGCAGAAGAGTTCTTATTTTTAAATCGTTAAAAGTTCCGAAGTTGTGTAAGTTGTCCAGCTGCCATAAGCCACAAGCCTTGATGGCTGAACAGTGACTAATGTACAGACAGGATGCTGGTTACATATGCTGAAAATTATCATCTGGTCACAGCCAACTTTCAATAAATGGTCCCCAAGTCCCTTCCATTTATACCTAACTCCTAAAATAATCTCTGCCACAAGCCTTCCTCTAGCAACACTCTAACTTACCTATAGCACTTCACTTTGGTGCAGTCTTTCTGAATGTGTCCAAATTCTCCACAAGAATAGCACTTCTGCTCATCCGCATGGTCACAGTCACGAGCCAGATGGCCTGGTTTGCCACAGTTGTAGCAGCATTGCTCTCGCTCTCTCTTGGGCTCCTTGCAGTCCTTGGCAATGTGGCCACCTCTACCGCAGTTATAGCAGGCTTCAACAATAAGGAAAAGAAGCAGACCAAGACTATAAAACCTTTACAAAACATTGCTTTAAGCCATACAACACAAAGCCTCAAAGGTATTAAGTCTTTCCCAATGCTATGTGCAGCAGTAGTACATGCTCACCTCTCCAAATTCTACAAGGGTATGAAAAGAAGTGTTAAATACTTACCATCCTCTTGAAGATCACAATCCTTGGCAAGATGACCAGACTCACCACAGCGATAACAGATGTCTGGAAGAGATGAGGAAACAAACTGGAAACCTATTTTGGGCAAAAACAAAAGAATGTGGCTAATTAGACCAGTCTTGATACTAATAAACACTGAAGTGCTTCAAAATTTTTTATTCGACAAAAATACCTCTATCCGAGGTAAAACCACCTCTGCCACGGCTTCTCATTCCACGACCACGGCCTCCACCAGTAGGGCATTCCCGGGCCCAATGGCCAGATCGTCCACACTTGAAACACTCATTGCTGCTCATGGCTGCAGTTAGATCTTTGAAATATTAAAAATGACATTGTTAAACTACTTGAAATTACTTTTAGCTTTTACTGCCCTTTTAGTGTATTTTTGGATAATTATTCTGAGGGAAGAAGCCAGCATATATACTGGTTAGAAAAAGGGCCACACAACTATGTACTTAGGCATCGTATGCCTATTAAGAAACACAGTAAAACTGAAAAAATGTAAAACGTTTTGATATAATTTGATTTTTAAAACCATTAAATTATGAATATGTGGATTAATACAAATGTTATTTAGTTATTAATGGAGTGATAGAATGCACAGAGTATCAATGCACATCCATTATTAGAAATAATAGTATCTCCTTCCAGGTCTAATTTAATGGCCACATTTTCATGTTTACAAGCCAGTCAACTTTATTTTGGGCAACTGGTTATTTAATGGTCATAAAATCAGAATAGCTCAAAACAACAGAACCATAGTATGTACTTTGAGAGTGAGGGGTAGCTAAAGAGAAACTTTCTAACTTTAGCTTCTAACAGTCCCTGGTTAACTGCAGCACTTGTCTACAGACTCTTTACAGCAGACATGTTAAAAAAAAGTGCAGGATATAAATTTTCTCTAGAGGATACAATATGTTAAAAATATTAGAAAAACAACAAAAGGGTACACCAAAGTATCAAAACCATCTAAAGCCCAGGACCTTTTTTCTTTTATTCTCTTCTTTCTCAATTTTCCTGTAACTCATTTAAAACAAGGCTACTTGGAACGTCACAATGGATTCCTTTATAGGGTATTATTTACAAGGGGGGCCAAAACTCCCACTAAAGCAAATGAATTTTATACTTCTTATGTAACAATCTAAAAATAAACAGGAACTATTCCTGGAATAGAATGGAACTCCTAGGAAAGTGGTTTATAGAAAACAAACTAGCTCAGAACAATGCAGCGCAGTAACTTCCACATCTCAATATTTTTACCCTATTCCCAGTGTCAACCCATGGTACACCAAGTTTTTTAACTACCCTCTCAAAGATAAGCACCATGATCTAGCAAAACAACTAAGACTGGGGTGCCTGGGTGGCTCAGTGGGTTAAGCCTCTGCCTTCGGCTCAGGTCATAATCTCAGGGTCCTGGGATAGAGCCCTGCATCGGGCTCTCTGCTCAGCAGTGAGCCTGCTTCCCCCTCTCTCTGCCTGCCTCTCTGCCTACTTGTGATTTCTGTCAAATAAACAAAATCTTAAAAAACAAACAAACAAACAACTAAGACTGACTAGAGAGTGGAATTATCCAAGTCAACCACAGTACCAAAACTCAAGTGACAGTGAAATGCTAAAGTCCCCCCTCCCCGCCACCCTTTCAGTAACCAGTTCATTGCTAAGTTATAGAGACTCCACTAACTAAAAATTAAGCTAAAGTTCACTTTCAGACGTTTCCATTGTCAAATATTCAAAAGAACTCAATACTTACCCCAAGTCTTTACAATCAGATTCAGGGTAAGTTTTCAAAGGGATCTTTTTATCAATTCCTGCCACTTGCCATATAAACACATTACCAAAAATGGGGGTGGGGGGGGAAGGACAGGCAGGGACCAGCATGGGATACTTAAGAGTTAGTGATTTCAGGGGTACCTGAGTGGCTCAGTCAGTTAGGTGTCCAACTTGTGATTTAAACTGACTCAGGTCATGATCTCATGGGCAGATCAGCAGAGAATCTGCTTAAGATTCTCTCTCCCTCCCCCACCCCTCAAATAAATCTTTAAAAAAAAAAAAAAAAAAAGTTAGTGGTTTCAGGATACATAATGCACATTTCTAGTCAGAAGAAAACAGCCAGGGCACCTGGGTGGCTCAGTGGGTTAAAGCCTCTGCCTTTGGCTCAGGTTATGATCCCAGGATCCTGGGATCAAGCCCCACATCAGGCTCTCTACTCAGTAGGGATCCTGCTTCCCTTCCTCTCTCTCTGCCTGCCTCTCTGCCTAATGTGATCTCTGTCAAATACATAAAATCTTAAAAAAAAAGAAGAAAACAGCCAATAAAGATTAAAAATGTGTTTTGGCAAAGCATGAGATTACCTTTGCTTTCTTTTACTCGTATTTGCCTTTTAAGTCATATAAAGTACTGGTTACCACCAGAGAGAAGAGTTGGGGTAAAAAAAAATAAAATAAAAAGATCACAGAAAAGAGCTGCTTATGGTACCTTGTACCCTCCTTTTCATTTTGCATCTTCTCCAGTTTATTATAGCCAGACCAGTTTAAGCACATTTAACTACTGCTGTCAATGAATTCTTTGCACAGAAATGATCACTTCCTTTTATAAAGTAATACAGGCAATTTGACAAGTCCTGAGTATTTTATCATTTAATATTTAAACAAGAGGGGCTCCTGGCTGGCTCAGTCAGTTCAGTGTCCAACTCTTGATTTCGGCTCAGGTCATGATCTCAGGGTTGTGAGGTTAAGCCCTGTGTCAGGCTCCTCCTATAGCAGGGAATCTGCTGGAGGTTCTCTCCCCTGCCCCCCACACTCACTCTCAAATAAACGGATCATAAAAATTATGTATGTATAGGGCTCCTGGTTGGCTCAGTCAGTTAAGTGTCTGCTTAGGCTCAGGTATGATCTCTGGGTCCTGGGACCGAGCGCCTCTGGTCTGTAGGGAGTCTGCTTCTCCCTCTCCCGCTTGTTCATGCTCTAATAAGATCTTTTAAAAAATTACATTTACCGATATATATGTAAATAAGATTAACTTGTCTTTTAAAAATATCATAATCCTATTCAACACGCATTTCTATAGCTAGTTTCAATCACCCCTTTAGACTGATGCTTTAAAAGGACACTTTATTTCATAATAAACTACAAAAGAAATATGTTACAATGAATCATCATGTATATAAAGTAGGTTTACTTTCAGCATAGAAATTCTGAGTTTAAAAAAACTACTCAAGGACGCCTGGGTGGCTCAGTGGGTTAAGCCGCTGCCTTCGGCTCAGGTCATGATCTCAGGGTCCTGGGATCGAGTCCCGCATCGGGCTCTCTGCTCGGCAGGGAGCCTGCTTCCCTCTCTCTCTCTGCCTGCCTCTCTGTCTACTTGTGATCTCGGTCTGTCAAATAAATAAATAAAATCTTTAAAAAAAAAAAAAAAAAAAAACTACTCAAGAACTGATTTCTCTGGGTGCCTGGGTGGCTCAGTGAAGCACCTACCCTTCTACCCTTCAGCTTGGGCCATGATCCCAGGGTCCTGAGATGGAGCCCCGCATCTGGCTCCTTACTCAGGGAGCCTGCTTCTCCCTGTCAAATAAGTAAAAAGAAGATACCACCCTCCCCACCAAAACTGATTATCTATGTGTACATTTTTTCATGAATTGTTTCTCCATTTTGTCAGATCTCTATGCACAGGACCCAGATCCAAAATGAACAGGAAGAAAAAGAAATCACAGGGAAAGTACTTCTGGAAAGAAGACAATTAGTTAAAATAACATTTAAAGATTAAACACTACACTCTACTTCTTCTCCTCACCCTAATTCCTAATTGAAATTTGGTTAAAGTGTAATCATTTCTATATGAACCACAAATTATTTAGGAAAAGCAATACTTCTCCATTTAGACAGTAATTAAACGACTCTACTAAACAGGCAACTTTATACACTTTAACTAGTTTTAGATATTTGCTTTGCCATCAACAAATTTTAGTCTCACATAATTTTGTTTACTGGAATAAATACAGGTCAGAAAAAAAAATACGAAGTCTTAAAGGGAAAGAAACATTTCATTAACATCCCAAAGACCCATCATCAGTAGGCCACATACTTTTTAGAAGATCTTCCCAGTGGGCTTAGGTAATGTATATGCAATCTGCCTTCTCCCCCTTTGGTCAAGCCAATCACAGTCAATTAACTGTTCTACATTTTCACTGAGTCTCCTGTAATAGATTTATCTCATCAGTAACATTAAACCAACCGATTCCCACTATGTTTCAGAGACCAATCACTTATCCTAGAAAGAGGTCCCCATCCTAATATTCATCTTATATGCAAAATGTAGTTAATTAAAAGGTCTTTATAGAGAATTATATACTATTCCCTATGAAAAGAGACAGTAAGATAAGACCGTAGAGAATTATGGTTCTGTGATTCTCACTGCCTATGACTACTCCTGGCTGGAATTTTGCTGCACTGTGCGGCCTCTGCCCCCTCAACCGGTCACAACCTTTTCCAACCTTCAATGGCCAACTCAAATGCCAACTCTTATAAAAGAATCTGACCACATCTCCTAGACTAGAACTCTCCTTCCTAGTAAAGCTGACAGTACTTTATTGGTATCTGTCTGATGACACTACTATATTGACTTTTATCATATTCCTGAGGGCAGAGACCAAGTAATTCACCTTTCATTCACAACACCCCATACAATTATCCTTTTAGTAGCAGTTACACTCAGTACTTTAACTTCTTGCAGGGAGGGGACAATTAATAATCATTTGCCGAATGAAACAAACTGTTTCTTGTACAGACTCAACCCAATCTAACCAAGTACTAACACCTAAATTCTTACTATCACAAGAGTTACTGCACCATTAATTTAAAATAACAATGTAGGGGCACCTGCGTGGCTCAGTCGGTTGGGCATCTGCCTTCAGCTCATGATCCCAGGGTCATGGGACAGAACTGCAGGTTGGGCTCCCTGCTCAGTGGGAAGTCTGCTGCTTCCTCTCCCTCTGACCTTCCTGCCCGTTTGTGTGCTGTGTAATAAAATCTTAAAAAAAAGAAAAAAAAAGTAAAAAAAGGTTATGTATTTTTAAATTATGTACTCATTGAGGATGTACTATCACTCTCAAAAAATGTTTATTTTGGATTATCTAATAAAATTCTATTACTCCAGGAATTCACAATCTACTAGACCTCTAGTATTTTATGGAATGCTACGAGACATGTCTACTAATAAAGATAAAAGACAAAATGCTGTATTTTCACTGTTGCCAGGCAGAAGGAGAGCATGTATTTCCTTCTTTTTGCTGCTAAAAATCATTGCTTGTATCTACATGGATTATCACCGTCACACAGTAAAGATCTGGGGACTCTTTTAACAGGTAAGCCTGGGTAACACCTGCTGTGTTACCTCAGACAATTTAAAGTCTGTCCTTTTCAGGAAAAAAGATGATAAAACTGATCTGTGATAAGGACTGTTACCAGGGGTCTTGTCCTTAACAGGTGCTCAACTTAAAAACTTTATGGGTTTATGTCCCCCGTTTAGTCTTTCTACTCTTCCCTCAGTTAAGTTAGACTGCTTACAGGTGGATTAGAATCCAGTGCAATGCCTACAGAGTAGGCTTACAACAGGGCAAACTCTGCGTATACTCAAGTTTCCCATCTCGAAGTCTACTTCCTAAATGGAATGAAGAGGTAGGTAAAATGGGGTAATAATGCCAAACGACTTTATATTTCCAACAACAGAAACCAGTTATTTAGTTTCCACTTCATGTTTTCATGACACAAACCAGCTTAAAGAAATGCAGGAGGGGCGGGCACCTGGGTAGCTCAGTGGTTGAGTGAATGCCTTCTGCTCAGGTCATGATCCCAGGGTCCTGGGATGGAGTCCTGCATCAGGCTCCCTGCTCGGCAGGGGGCCTGCTTCTCCCTCTCCCACTCCCCCTGCTTGTGTTCCCTCTCTCACTGTGTCCCCGTCAAATAGATAAAATTTAAAAATCTTAAAAGAAAAAAGAAATGCAGGAGAATAGGGCATGCCAGGCAGCAGTAAGGCAGTCAAGACATCACTTGAAAAGACTGGAAATTCACTGAGAAACCATATATAATTAAGAGGTCCGACTATTTTACACTCATCTAGGCTTAAATTCTGGAATTGATACCAAAACATTATTGATTATACTAACTTGTCTTTATCAATGTAGTTTTCCACCATTTCTGATACTAAGAACAAAGCTAGTAAACTACTTAAATCTTAACAGCACACCATCAAGACTAACAATGTGAATCCCAGTAAGACCCTAACTCTGGCTCCAAATATATTTAAATAAGTAGTGACAGGCAAGTGGTGGGGGATGCATGACAAGTTTTTTGTGGCTCTGGCTATCTTTATTGCTTTGCATGGTTTTCGTAACATAGCTACGCATCGTAACATAGCTAAATGTGTATCCACATGTACTGTATCTCCAGTTACTTCCCTTAAGTGTAGGGTTATCCCTGACTCATTCATGTTGCTGACCTAACTATATCCAGATCATAGGGGAGCTTTTGCCCCTCTGAAGGTACTCATCATTATGCTCTAATAAATCAGTTTAGTGTTCCAACATGGTACTGAAACACTTCAGACTCTTGTAAGATAGATAAACTACAGACAGAAGGGAAGGAAACAAGTTACGCTGTACACTGCCTGCATTCTGGCCAGAATAAAGGAGACCAGAGTTTAATACTGGGAGTGATTCTGGGTTTTCACCCTGGTTCCTGCCCTGATTACCCCAAAGGGTTTTAATAACTAAATATCTACTATGACTCAAAGGTTAATAAACATGTTATCTGTAATCCTTACAACCCTCCAAGTTAGGTATTCTTGTTCCCATTTCACTGATAAGGAGACTAAAGATCTGAGACTATGTAAAATATGTTAATTTGTAATGCCAAAAATATTCTCTTTAGGTAAATTGAAACTAGAACTCATCAACCTTTTAAAAACCCACTGCCATGTATTAATTTATTCACAGTATACCATCACACAGCTTTCCTGAATTTTAAGCCAGATTTTAACACAGATTTTCTCAACCTTCTTTGTGGTAGAACTTAAGAGTGTCACCACAGAACCAAAGACTGGCAACCTGATTTCACCATTTAACAGCCTCATTTTTAATTATGGAGCCACTCCAGCTGAGCACTATACTACACTCTCATACTACTGCTTAACAGATTCTACCTACTTACAACTTAAATTTTGGTGGCCGCAAGCTCTCACTTTATTATTCCAACAGTTCTTCACAACACAAAAATAATGCACAGCTTACTGAATTCTCACAAGCATGCCCTTACTGCAGCAGCAACTGACACTGCCAGAATAGGAGTTCTATTAAGTCACACAGTAGGGAAAGAGCATTCTCCACATAGCAGGCCAGGATGCCTTGGCATCAGTCTTCTGGCTCTCCACTTACTGTCAGAAGGCTAGGAAGAGGAAAGAAGCCAACAATTTTTTAAAACTCTCACTCTCGCAAGAGGGGGAAAAAAAACAAAACTGCAAAATCTCTCTTGTGGTCAAGTGCTTAGCCAACAGACCATTCCAATTATTCAAACTGTGGTTCTATCGCTTTTAAGCACCAATCCGGTAACTTCCCATATACATACCACATATTTTTATTAGATTTTTTTTTTAAAGGCAAAATAATCCAAAGTCATATAACCATCTACAAAACCCATTTATAATACCTTAAAGAAGAGATCCAGTTGTTCAAATGCTAGTGTAATAAATGCCCTTTGGTCTTCCACTGATTTGGCTCAAAATATTTTACAGAAACTCCACATCTGTTTGAAATACATTACCCCCTATCAGTATGGAAACGTGGACCTTTAGGCTGCTAAGGCCTACCCAAGTTTTCCAATGTGACACATGCGGATAAGTACACAAACATATAGTTAGCTTAAAAAACAAACAAACAAACAAACAAACAAACAAACCTGCGGCCAAGAGCTGTGATTTGGAAAAAATTTTAAGTCCTTAACTCAGCCCTTGGGAATCTAATATTCTTTTTATATGCCAGGACAGAGAGCTCCTTGTAGACAAGAATCAGGCTCAACAAGCTAAACACAGTGTGTACCTATGTACGTCGCTTTTGTAGGGGGGGTTTGATTAAACCATGATCAGAGTGATTTTTTAAGCATTTGAAAATGACTGCTTTGCAGAAGGGAAAAAAAGCCTAAGAAGTAAGAATTTCATCTCATACATCTTTTAAAAGCCCTCAAAATGGTACATGCAATTTATAGTGTTTGGGCAAGAGCAACAAAGTTGCTATCTTAATTTATGGTAACTCCTCCATGCAGAAATTAACTGGTTATATTTCTTTCAAAAATGAGATCCAACAATAGGAAAGAAGGAAACTTCTTTTTTTTTTTTTTAATTTGTATACTCTGGGGTATGATGAGGATGTAGGATGTAAATTAATCCAGACTCCTGGCTTCTTACCTTCTCTATGGTTCTTTCTGGATAATGACTGAAACACACTATCTCAAGTCACAGAGGACTACTGAGCAGTATTTGCTTTTTCTAAGACCTCCAAGACCAGATGTAGTCACTTCCTTTGGAAGTGCCCTGTGGCTGAGACCATGTGGTTAACATGTGGCAACAAGCATACGCCTTACCCATAATAAAATCAACACCCAAACCCAAATGTGGGCAATTATGTGGTCCTAAAATAGGTTTTCACATTTGGAATATCTAGATGGGGACTGGTTCATCAACTTTCACGTCTCAATTTCAAATTAAGTTGTATTTGTTTAATCCATGAAATGGTTGGATTTCGTTGATTCACGGAAAGCGAGACCTATCTGCCTCTTTTTCGAATTGCAATGTTAAGAGAAGTAACCTAGCATTTGAACCACAATAAAAATTCAAGTATGGAGAGTACGAATTTCGAAGATTCTCGGGCCTTCTGGCGGAGTATCCCACCACTCTAAACCCAAGCGCGTCTCCAGTGACCCTTTTCTTAGCCCATCACAACCCTTGGCACATGGCCCGCCAGGCCCACTACCCCAGCACATGGCCTGCATAAATACCCAAACCCATCCCCCCCTCCAACCTCACCAGGGTCCTTTTCCCACCACACAGCCTCCTTCCAATAAGTTCCCGCCAAATCGACCCTCCGTCCCGCATTCCGCGACCCTCGAAGTCTCAGGGCCTCAGTCCCAAGGGCGCACGGGCTGGGGCCTCCTTTGCTGTGAGGCTGCGGCCTGGGGTGCGGCCTTGGCCCTTGAAGAAGCCCCGAGGCGCGGCGACCCAGCTTCCCAAGACGGAAGGAAGGGCGGCAGGGACGCCCGACTGCGGCAGGCCGGAAACCTGGACATGAGGTGGCGGTGGCAGCCGAGTTTCCCGCCTGACGCAGCAGCAGAGCAGGCCAGAGTGCGGCCGCCATCGCCGCCTCACCGCTCCCAACCTCTCCGTCCGCCTCGGCCAGGGCCCGCACCGCGACTTCCCCCCAACCCCAGGCCCCGCTCTAGGCCCTCACCTTCAGCGTCTGAGCGGGCCCGCAGCGGCGGAGACTCGGACGCAGGCCCGGGAGAGGCGGCTCACAAGGTAGCGGCTGTTTATTTTCAGGGTCCTTGCCTGCGCCACACGCGGGTCTGCACACGGCCCCACACACGCCGCTGCGCACGGCTCTCCTCCGCCTCGCCCACGCGGCCAATCAGCACGCGGAGCTCCGCCGTCCAATCAGAGCCGCCCCAGAGGAGGGCCGCCCAGCTTGAGCGCGGCGCGGGGCGGGGCGGGCTTCTACCTCCGCGCGCCACGGCCTTTCCCGGCGTGCCCTGCGCGCGGCCTTTCCCGCCCGGAACCCCAGGCCCCGACCTTTCTTGGGCCCTTTCCGCTTATTCCAGGCTCCTCCCCACCCGGGGGGAATTTGGGTGTCCAGTGTTGTGATCTTTCGCGGCGCCTGGCGACCAGGGATGCTAGAGGGCGGGTCTCAGTGAAATGGCTGTGATTAGCGTGGGATCAGGGAAAAATCCCTATCCCTTTTGGGGCTCAGAAAAAAAGGTCTGCTCTGAGACCTCTGGTTGGGACTTTCAGAGCTAGTACCCGTTTCCTAAAACACACATCTCAGTTTAGGGAAAGGTCGCGGCAGCCAAGTGACAGAAGTTGCTGTGGCTGTAGGTCACAGGCCCTAAGTTTTGTTTTGGTTTTTGTGTGAGCCTAGGCAGAGCCTGGAAGCCATGATGCTTAAACCTCTTAACAGATAAACCAGCACCAACAACCCTCACAAAATGCACCCCATGAGGGAAAGGGACCTGCCCTGCGGAGGGTGTGAAGACGGCGAGGAATGGCCCTGAGACTTCTCTGCCTCACAACACACCTTGTGACCATTTAACACATTGATGAGTCACATTCCCTGCGACTCAAGGGGGTCACACGGTGTGCCAGGAGAGCCATCTGGCCTGGGCTATCATGTTCAGGAATGGCTTTAGTTGAGATTTCGTATCTTCTCCAAAAAAGCTTGGATACGTAGTCATAGATATTCTTTCAGATGAAAACAATTTAAATTGTTGAATGTGAACTAAAATTTCAAGAATTTTGTGTACCATCTTGAAATGACTTTTGTTAAAAAGAGGAGAAAAAAGTGAAGCACCCCCAGCCTCTTGAGCTCTAAAAGCTCTGAAATTACTATAGTCACCTATTAACTTAATATGCTCCTCAAGGTTGATAAGCAGCCAAGTTGTTGGCTGGTATGTCCCAGAAATTTACTTTTCATTCCTTTAATGAGCATCTTATTTGAAATTAATTGCACAGATCTATTAAGATGTTAAAACTGTGATAAACAGTCCTTGTTTGTAGCATTAATTCGGTGAGTAGCTGTGAAGACTTTACCCGTCCTTTGCCCTTGGTCTCATCCCATTGAATCCTCCCAGTCCCCAGGCTGTATGACTTTTAAAATCATGTTGGTAGGAAGACACAGTGGTTAAGAGCACAGGTGTTAAGAATAAGGCATTAAACCTGGATTCAAATCACTAGTGCTTACTTAATCACTGTATAGTGCATTTAGCAAGTTGTGCTCAACACAGCGCTTAATGAAGGATAGCAATCATCAAAGAGTGAATCACCTATTTCAAGGGCCAGTGATTTTTTTTGCAAGCTTTTTTTAGCCAAGAAAATTAAAGTAAAAATATATAAAAATTCAGTTTGAAAGGGTCCCAATCTTCCAATAAGATTGAACTGCCTAGCAGTCTGTATATTGAATTATATAACACCAGAGTTACCAATACTAAAACTGTTTTGTGCTTACATGGTTTTATTACCAAGAAGCTTACTCAGCTTTATAGATTTCCCCTCCCTAACTGATTACTCTTTATAATATCTCTAGGTAAGTAGTAGTGTGGCATTTGCAGACACTTAAGTAGTGATTTCCTAAGCCCCAGCAGTGAGTCAGTATAATGCAAGAGGCTAAACAGAGGAAGTCCACCTTGTATGCACCCAAGCCATGCCAGGAGGACTAGTTAAATTGTCATAGTAACCATCAATTCCTATTTTTGACTTGATTTTTATTTATCATTCCAACCACAATGCTTACATAAATGTTTGATATTTATTATAGACGCAGGGACAGAATGTTCCTAATGTTAAAAAAATTTTTTAAAAAGAGGGTGGGTGTGAAATAGACAGTGGACATAAGATTCTGTAGGTTTCAAAAGACAAGTAGAAGGAATGGAAATGTAATGTGGTTTTTGCTGCTTAGCTCTGGTAACAGGTAATGGCTCTTCTCTACCTGGCATCCAGCTTTCTGCAATAACTATTACTATTAACAGAGCCACGCTGATCATGAGGCATTCTGTCTCCAGAGGTTTATGATGGAATTTAACTATACTCGTTTGTGTTGTCTGGATATGCCCTTGGGTACACCTATTTCACTAGAGAAGCTTGAAAAGAAGAAAGGAAAAAGCCAGCCTACTCAAAAGATAAACTGCCAACCATATATGAAGAAAGAGTCCCTCCTCTAAAAATGTGTTTTCTCACCCTCCTCCCTTCCAGTGTTCAGTCTTACCCAGTCTTTCCCACTTTTTGTGCTCAGCACTGTTAACTGTTACAAAGGTAATTAGCTCAGATGTAGACCTTTCCCCTGAAGATCTCACAAGATGAAATGGACCATAAGAAAGTACTAAGTGGGGGCGCCTGGGGGGCGCCTTGGGGGGCTCAGCTGGTTATGTTTCTGCCTTCTGCTCAGGTCATGATCTCGGGGTCCTGGGATCAAATCCCGCATCAGGCTCCCTGCTCGGGGGCGGGGGGCTCTGCTTCTCTCTGCTTCTGTTCTCTCTCTCTCTCTCTCAAATTAATAAATAAATCTTAAAGGAAAAAAAAAAAGTATTAAGTGTCCTGAGGGAGGACCAGCTCAAATGCAATGATTCAGCATGATTCAGGATCCCTTAAAATGAGTACCAGTTGAGAAGCAAGACCTGCCAATTCTTCATTTCCGCTGAAATGCCCAACTGCATAGTACATGCCTTAAATTCTGCTGTCCAATGGAGATGATATCGTATATATCTTTCTAAACCCTCCATGTCTTGCTTTCTCTGCCTACCGGGAAAGAGTCTCTGTGACTTAAATTGGAAAATATGCAAATAAGTTTAAGGAGCATAAATCGTTTCACCTCTCCTGTCTGCTTCTGAAGTTAAAACAGTTTACTAAGGTGCGCCTGGGTGGCTCAGTGGGTTAAGCCTCTGCCTTCGGCTCAGGTCATGATCCCAGGGTGCTGGGATCGAGCCCCGCATCGGGCTCTCTGCTCAGCGGGGAGCCTGCTTCCTCCCCTCTCTCTGCCTGCCTCTCTGCCTACTTATGATCTCTCTGTCCAATAAATAAATAAAATCTTAAAAAAAAAGAGTTTACTAAACTAAATCCTGAAATTGGAATCAGTTAATCTAATAAGCTAATAGTACATATAAATTTCTTTAACAGGGCCTGGCACAATTACTATTAAAGTGTTATCTACTATTTTTGTTATTATTATGGAGTGCTTATTATATGCCAGTCATTGTTTATGACCTCTTTGTAAGTTTACACAAAACCTCTATGAGATATGTACTTTTATTATCCCCATAAGGAAATAAAATTCCAGAGAATTCAAGGGTTCTGCCAAAGGTCAGAGAGTGAATAAATGACGGGACAGACTTCAGACAGAGGAAGCCTAAATGCTTAAACACAAAGCTTCCAGCCTCCCAGCAGTTTTCGAAACCTAATCCTACAATTTCCCATTGACTCCTTAAAGTGACAGTATAGGGAATACTAACGGATGATAAGGAAAATATGAAACACTGACTAATGATTTAGTGAGCTTTCCATTAGTTGGTTTTCTCCTCTGTGACCCCAAATTGAAACTATCTCTACTTCTGCAAAATAACTGGCAAGAGAACATCATTCGCAAATAATTGTTTTTTTTTTAAGATTTTATTTATTTGTTTGACAGAGAGATCACAAGTAGGCAGAGAGGCAGGCAGAGAGAGGGGAAAGCAGGCTCCCTGCTGAGCAGAGAGCTCGATGTGGGGCTCGATCCCAGGACCCTGAGATCATGACCTGAGCCAAAGGCGGAGGCTTAACCCACTGAGCCACCCAGGTGCCCCTCGCAAATAGTTTTTAAAGGTTCGAAGTAAAACCATCCATTTTTTTCTTAAAAGAAAAGCAGATGCATTCATTTAAAAAAGTAACTTCATATGGATCACTTTCATTATTTAAACTTTAAAACAGGTAGTGAATGGCAAATCATAAAATGTCTTAAGTTGTTTTTTGAGAGAGCATTAAAAATTTGTTCATCTAACTCTCATAATCTACAAAAATAATGTAATTGACTTTTCAAGGTTAAAAATAAGTACTATATAATTGGGTGAATTAGAATCTAACATCTAAAAGAGTATTTAGCCTAATCTCAGAATATTTCAACTAATCCCCTCATTTTTTCCCTCATTTTTAAATGAGACAGAGACCTATAGAGTTACCTAGAGTCCCTACAAGTCCCTAAAAGAACTGATGTCTTTAACATGAGTAAATCAGAGTCCCACCCACATATCATAAGGAAGGAGCTACTAGCTACGCTTGTGACCTGATTAATCCAAGTAACCGCAGTGGTGATAAGAAAAGGGGAGCCCAAATCTAATACTCTACACTTGTGCCTTGTGTCTCCAGCCTTTTTCTCTGGAAATTAACTCAATGGTCATTCTCATTTATAAAGTAGTGATAAACTTATGAGTTTAAAGAGGATGAACAAATAATCAATTTCTAAATCTTGGGAATGTACTTAGACTTCAATATAAGAAATATTAACTTGAAACTCTGTATGTTTATACTAGGAAAATGTCTTTCAATTATGAATTGTAACTACAAAAGAGAACATTTGAAATTATACCTGGCAAAAGAATGGCTTTTAAGCAATTAGAATATCACAGACACAGCTAATGTTCCTTTTATCCCTCCTTACCCTGAGTCCCACTTCTTTTCTTTCCTCCTAATATCACAAAAACAGTGTGTATCTTTCTGGCCTATTTTTAATAATATATAATAAAATTACTATGTATATAGTATATAATGATTCTATATGTATACATAGTATGTAGTAACTCCACACTATGTAGTGCCTACATTACATATATCTGTACACACATAACTACATATATATGTGTGTGTGTGTATACAC